GGCAAGAACATCCCATAAAAGGCCACTTATGCCTGACACAGTCAGAGTAGATTTTTTAAGCAGATGCAAAAGGTGCAGCAGTTTCATTACTCAATTATGACAGAGCTTTTCCCAACAACTTAACGAACATTCATTTGCAATGTATTAAACCACTTTTTCTGTTAAATGTAAAGATCAGTGCTAGGAGCTATACATTGTGCAAGATAATTGCACCATGTAATTCTGGTGCTTCAACAATTTATACTGAAATATTGATGGATATGTTCCAACATTCCTCTTCTCTTTTTATTTTTTTTCCCCCACAAGCATATTTCATAATCTTTTAAATATCTCTCCCCTGAAAACTTTAATGTAAAGCACAAATCCCCTTATGTAATAGAAGTTTAATGCATCTGGATATTGCTAACCAAACAAAAGCTTTTCAGGCCCATATCTACTTTCAGAAATAAAAGATGCTGTTAACAGAAGGTATTGTGAATATGAATTTATGAGGAATGTGCCATAGCAGAAGGGCATGACTAAGGAAAAGTTAAGGGCTCCCCTTTAATATTAGAAATACGAAGTAATTTTTTTTCTGATTTCTTATGGGCATAGCTAAGAATAAAAAAACAATTTTTCAAGTAGGAATTTAATGCTAAGTGACACTTTGCATAATCTGCTTAGGAGAAGCACTATGGAGTTGTACTGTCTGTGGTTCCAGCACTGACCCAAGACTTGTAAATTGAAATAGAAATGCAGTGAGGTTAAACAGAGCAACGAGGAGCATCTCAGAGAAGGAACCTCGCTCATAAACTGTGGTTGGAACAGTTGGTTCAAGGGGTTTGTATGTTTGCTGTAAAAATAGAACTTGAATCAAGCAAGTAATAGTCATTAATAAGTAGTCAGGATGAAGCATTTGGTTGTGAAATTATATAAACTGTGCAGAAAACTCTTGGGTTTGCTCTAGGAGGAAAGGCTTGGAGGATTCCCGGGTGCTGAGAGCTCTGCCTCGGGCTGGTGGGAATAACTGGCACAGAAAAGTTGAGGGGGTTACCTGTGACACTGCCCTTGGTTCCTGCACGTGAACAAAACATAAACTGCAGAGAAAGACCCGTGAATTCCAGTAAATAATCCTGGAATTTGCCCCAGTGTCCTGTTTAGCTGTGAACCTACAAGGTAGTTTCTGCTGCTGTGGGTTTGTTACTCCCCAGAGCTCATCGTGCCATGGGCTTGCTCTGTTTACCTGCAGAGTTCTCTCTCCTACTTTTGTCCGGCAGTTTTATCTCTCTTTTGTTGCATCTTTCTTGCTCTATATCTCTGCCCCATCCCTGGAAGTGTTCAAGGCCAGGCTGGATGGGACTCTGAGCAACCTGGGCTAGTGGAAGGTGTCCCTGCCCACGGCAGGAGGTGGAACTGGATGGGCTTTAAGGTCCCTCCCAACCCAAACCACGCTGGATTCTATGAAAATGCCACATTTAGGCTCAGATCTGTTTTCTGACCCAGACTTGGACTGGAACCTTTCCCATCCCAGGTGAGAACTTGCTCCCTTGGACCAGCAGCTTCTCTGTTTGAGGAATATCATTTAAGGTCCCTTGCAACCCAAACCATTCCGTGGTTCCTGCATCTTGTCACATCTGCTGAAGATTTAAGCAAGGCTTGTACAGGCAACAATTCTGAACCCTGCTAGTTGTCCCCAGCCCTGTCCTGGGAAGTCCCCTGGCTGACAATGAGCCATAGATCAGCCTTGCCTCCCTCCAGCCCTTGGCTCCCTCCCCCAGCCCATGAGACGGATGCTCGCTGTGAGAACGGTGCTGACATTTGCTCACCAGGGACTGGCATGGGACCATCATTTCATGTCCTATAGGTCCCCAGGAAGAACCAGATGCTAATGAGTGCCAGGCCATCAGAGGCCTGGCTTGCACTCCAGCTCCAGTGTCCTAAACTCCCTGTCCTGAGCCCATTCTCCATTGTAGCTGCTGGGGATTGCTGCAGCCTGCCCTGTCAGCAGAGATGTTGCACAACCAGCCAGTGACCACCCAGGGCTATTCTCTTTAGGCTGGATGCCATCTTTTCTGGGCAAGTGTACAGATCATGTCTTGAACTGTGCCAGACACGCTGTTTGTGGTTCGTTTCTGCTCATGAGCCTGGCTGAACAAAAAAGGAGATACATATATATATTTATATCTGTCCCAGTGGTGCTCACGTCCAATCTGACACCCGGTAGATGGCCCTTGGGGATTCTAACGAGGCACCCACTGCTGTACAGCGTGTTTTGGCAACCAGGAGGGGTGGCAAATCCCATGCCTGTCTTTCTTCTGCAAGTCTTCGTGTTTCTTTTTGGCACATCCATGCAACGAAGATCAAGACGCAAGCACTGCCAAAGCTTCTTGTAGAATAGATGACATTTATATTGTTATGCAGTTTGCTGATCTAAACATACCATTGCCTTGCCTCGATAGCCCAGGGCAAGTGCTAATCAGCTTGTTTTGTGGGCACCATGCCATCTGAAAGGGGGGGACACAAATAGAGACAGTATGTGCATCATCCCCGAGCGTTGCAAGAACACGATTCCCAGCTGAGAGTATCGAAATGTGTCGGTCTCCTGAGCATGTTGGCATGGAAAAGAGAAGTGACAGCGTTAAATGGAAGGGATTTGGAATAAATCAAGGTTATATTCCTTAGCTGCTTCAAGTTTTCATTTATATAGGTCACGTTGTCAGCTGGTGTAAACGGGCAGGGCTGTGCTGAAAGCAGGGGTGTCACCAAATCTGAGCTGCTGAGCACCTGACCCCCTGTGGCTGCTCCCCACGAGGACCTTCCATTCTCATTTTGTCCTCTGGGGCATCATGAAAGGAGGTTTAGTCTCAAAGGTAACGTGTAAGTCCAGTTTGGGTTCCTGTGTTGCTTTCACAGCTCCGTTGCTCACACTCGGTGCTGGGCAGTTTGCCCTCTGTGTGCCCAGTGTCACCTCAGGTATGGAACAGGACTTTGATTTAATTAGTATTTTAGTTCTAAGGGCTTTAATCAAGGTTTGCTGGAATGGCAGGCATGGTGGAATAGTTCACTTGGAGCGCTGCAATGGATGGATGGATGGATGTGGCTCTTAGACAAAGATGTCTGTGGGAAACAAGGAGAGGGGGTTGTGTTTTGTGCCAAGGAGTTTATGTTAGAAAAGAAGAAATGTTCTAGAGGAAAATTATTGTTTAGGGAACACTGATTTGCATGAATGAATGTTTTCACTTCAGCTGATATTTAAAAATGGATACTTAAGCTAAGCCACAGTTTGGTGGCCCAAGGAGGAGCAGATGGGGTTGGGATCAGGGTGGGAAGGCTCACAGAGGGTGTCATGCTGGGCATCTCCTCTGAACTAGAGGAAGAGCTGAATGAAGCTGCCCTCAACAATTGGAAAAAAAAATCTTCTGTCACTACAACAAGGGAAATTGTGATTAGAGGAGAAGCTCCAAAGTGTGAGAGTGGTGCAGCCCTGGAGCAGGTGCCCGGTGAGGCTGTGGGATCTCCATTCCTGAGGATTGTCAGAGCTCCTGTGGCCACCAGCAGATTCCACTTGGAGGTTGTGGCCATGTCTGGAGTAGAAGGATGACTTAGGTGACTTCCAGCCATCTTTGACCCGCTCTCCACGAAATGCTATTTTCCTACAAACCTCTGTGACTCTCATGAGTGTTCCCTGAATTAGCACAGACGAGGTGCAGCCTCTCCATCCTCATCCTCACTCCCAGGAGCACCTGAAGTGCCCTCAGTACCGTCTCCCAACCTTTGGGTGTTTTAGGCACGTCCCTTCCCTCTTTCTGTGCTTTATTTGCTTGGTTGTTTCTCCCTCAGATTGGATTTTCATGGCCATGTTTTAGGAAAACACGCTCTGGGGGTATCACATACAAACAATTACACTTGAAAACCCCTGAAGATGGACTGAAAGTGGATATTGCATGGAATAACAGGGGACTTTGGATGCACAAGTAGAACTCTAATAGCTGGCTTGAGTTCATTGGGGTAATCTGGCCCTTATCCCAGCCTTTTTGAAAGATAATCATCGTTCCAAGAGAGGTTTTCATTGACTATAGCATACACTTTATATTTCACTGTGTAATGGAACCTTCCATACACTCAAGGAAAACAATTTACAGAGCTAATTGCTGAACTCTGCAGATATAATCCTTTAAATGGGTTATGCTAGATAAGAGTTTATGTTAAAAAAGAAGAAATGTTCTAGAGGAAAATTATTGTTTAGGGAACATTGATTTGCATGAATTAATGTTTTCACTTCAGCTGATAGTTAAAAATGGATACTTAAGCTAAGCCACATTTTAGTGTAACATAAATGCTTCATTAGTTATGGTGTGAGCTGAAATCCATTGTTTGTTTGCTTTTTCATGTCTCCAAACTTCAGCTGGCGTCGGGTCAAACTGTGCCAAAGATTCCATTTTTTTAATTAAAAAAGAAAAAAGCCGAAAAAAGCCAAAAAAAGCCCTGCGTGGACTCTGAGATGGGAGGATGCCTTGGAGTTCTCATTGTTACTCACTGATTTAGTTTAGACAATCCTCTCCACCCTCCTGTCTCAGCCCACTTATCAGGGAAATTAGGGGTGGTGTTAATGATCTCACCTGACACAGTTGTCTCCGGAATTAACTGATGAATATTTGCACAGTACAATATTTGTACAGAGGTGGTGCATCCCTCGTGCTGCAGGAGCAGCCATCTGTCACACACACACACAGCTCTCACATTTAAGGGCTGCAATGAACATTTTGGGGCTTGGGAAGTCAAGGAACTTTTGCAGAACTCAGAGAATTAGGTTGTTTTTTTTTTGTTGCTGTTTTTATCACTTATATTTTAATTCAGATTATAACCCAAGGTCTGTACCTGCTGATAGTTGCTGTGGCTTTGTTGCCCACACAGTCTGGGGTTATGGCACAAATATATAAGAGTTCAGCACTGTACAGAAGGTGTTAGTAATGAACTAGACAGAATGTTTGAGTTTAATTTAAATCCATTTTCTCCCCTGTAGCTGAGTGTTGGTGACAGACTGAGAGAGAAGGAGTAAAGCACAGCATTGTGTTTTACAGCAGCCCAGTGGAACAAAGGGTATGTATGTTTGTTTTCCGTGGTCCTCTTTAATTATCCTGTAATTTCTGTGTGTTGTTACCTCAATTGTGTTTAAAGGAAGTTCATATATATCCAAAGAGGAAGGGATTAAGGAGGACACTCAAGCTGAGGCTTTCAGAGAGCTGGGCTCTCCAGCACTCAGTGACTCAGTAAAATGTGCAGGTCACATCTCATTCCACTGTGAATTTCCCTTTTTTTCCAGGATCTGTGGTGAAATCCCTCCTGTGAACTGCTGCCATCCCGATTCCAGGTGCTCTTCCCACTGGCAAACAGCCTAAGGAGGAGCTGTTTATAGGTGAGATGTTCCCTCCAGTCAACTGGAGGGATGAGCTTTTTGTTCCTTTCTGTTAGAAGAGTCTTGCCAGTTGTGAATTGAACTGATAATTAAGAGCTCAGAAACTTTTTAACCCATGGATGTATTTGTACTATATTTATACAAAAGTACTGTAAAAGCACAATATTTATACAAAAGACTGGGATATATTGCACAAATCCATGGCTGTTACGTGCTTACAGCAGCAGATTTTTAACATGGAATTGGGTGGTTGGAACTGGCTGATCTTTAAGGACCCTTCCAACTCAAATCATTCTGTGATTCCATGAAATTCCTGGGTGCAAAAACACATATTAACCAGAAAATGAGTTTCACTGAGATCATTAAAAACTCTTTTTTTTCTTAATTCCTTTTTTTTTTCCCCACCCACCATCCTGCTCAAGAAAATCGGCCTGATTTTTGAAGTCCTTAATTAAGGATGGAAATTTAGCGTTAGGCAGATGCTGTCATTTTTTTTTTTCCCCTACCCCTCCAGCAAAAACCCATGTGCAGTGTGCTGCCTGGGGCTCAGACACTGGAGGATGAGCAGCATCTGCAAAACCTGCAGGGTCCTGCAGTCAGATGAGTCATGTGTTGCACGGGCAAAGTTTAATCCCAGAGAAGAAGTTCCAACACAGGAAGAACCCCCTGAAAACAACAGGAATTGCTACAGTATTTGGGCAGTAAACACAGGTTAGAACAGTCTGGGTATTTGCTTTAATCCTCTCTGGTTCTATTTTGAAATGCTCTGTTCCTACTTGCTAAACCACTTTCCTTTTTCACTCTTGTTTTACTGTGACAGAAGGAGGAGGGGATATTTTGGAAGCTGGAAAAGTGCCACTGATTTTTTTGCAGGTTTCTTGAACTGAGCATTGCCACCCTGGAAGTGCTGGGAGCCTCTTCTTCCAGGGTTCCCCATAGAATTCCCACCCTCCCACGAGGCAGGACGTGCCCCAGGGTACAGGGCTCACCTTCCTGAATGTTTGAGAGAATGAGGGAGTTTGGATTGATGGGCTCTCAGCAGCACAGAGCCAGGGAGCCCAAATATTGCCCAAAGATCAGGAGCTGAGTGTTGAACAGGATGGAAAATTCCTCTGCAGTGTGGATTGATGGAGTTCAGCATCGGGGCAAGCAAAGGTCGAGCAGAAAGGTCCAACTTGGCACGAGGCCACTCCCCATGAAGGGTTTGGCTTTGTGTTTGGGCTGGGGTGGTGCTTGTGCCAGTCCTTGCCTGGAAAATGCCTGATGAGCCACATTTTAGTGGGGGATGTTGCCCAGCAGCTCATGGTGGGGAAGAGCTGGAGGTGGGTTGGATGGAGTTTTGAGCAACCTGGTCTAGTGGAAGGTGTCCCTGTCCAGGGCAGGGGGGTTTAAACAAAATGCTCTTTAGGGTCCCTTCCAACCCAAACCATTCTGGCACTCTTTGATTTATGAGGCTTTATTTATTATATATTTTTTAATTATTTTTTCTGTTTCCTCTCAGCATAATGAAATATTCCAGGGGTGTTGCTCATGTTCTGCCATACATTTGGGTGTGGTTTAGGAGACATTCCAGGTAGTCAACCTCAAACCATGTCCCATAGTGAAGCCTCTTTTATAGAGCAGTAAACAAATCTCACTTCTACTTCTTCGTTTTGGTTTTTTTTTTTTTTCCCTTTTCCCTCGAGCCAAAATTCAGGAAAGTCATTTAGTGTCACCTGGGTGGCTTTTAATAGAGGCTTGGAACAAGAAGGAAAAAACCCCTCTTGTGCCCACTTGTTTCTTAGGTCACGTTGCCCACAGCTCGTCTCACCACTCCCTGAGAAAGTTTGTGTAAGTCCTAAAATAATTCCACGCTGCTGGCCCACAAATATTCCCATTTGGTCATCTTTATATAGAGTAATTACTGTTTAACATGGCACCACAGCTGGGCCAGGGCTTATTTTGGGTTAGGAGATATAAAAAGCCGTTTGTAATAAATAAATGCAATTACCGGGTTTGTTGCTCTGTCATTCTAAACAAATGAGTCCAGAGACTTGTTAGTTTGCTTATTCTTTTCTGCTTGTTTTGCTTTAAGAGTCAGCATTTGTGAGAGGCTTTGGGTACCAAAGGTATCCATCCTGGCTAATTTAGACAAGCCTGCGCTTCAATGACCAAAACTCTAATTTTTGGGTGTTGTGATGACACTGAGGGAACTCTGTGGGGTGGCACATGCCCAGGAAAGGGGGTCAAGGCTTAACCAGTGGACACAAATTCATTTTCCTGAGCAGGTGATGGGTGGAAAGAAGCACCTTGAGGGAAAGGTCTTGGCTCTGTGCTGTCCTCCAAACAGGTATTTGAATTTCTGTGCTGGGCACAGAGCAAGCAGCTCATTCCCACAGCTCTGGGGGTGTCATTAGCATTTTTTCAGGCCATGCTGACTCCAACATCAAAGTTCTTTCTAATTTTAATAACTTTGATTTATGTATATATATATATATATATTTATCCACATGTATTTTATATTTGTTCATATATGGATATATGTGTGTGTGCAGCCAGAGAAAAGGAAAACAGGGCCATGTATATCCATGTGGCATTTCTTATCTGGCCCTAAAATACAGGTGTCTCTGTGGGAAACAAGTTGTGAAGCTGTTTATTGTCCAAGAGTTCAGGAAGTTGAGGGGATTATATTCACTTACACTGTTTCCCAGGCTGGGCTGATCATTTCACCTCAAAAAATCAGCATCAAAGTCTCTCTCACAGAAGACCCCAATATTTTTAGTAGTCACAGGAAGGAATGTTGTCCTCTGGGACAGAGGCTGTGGGTCAGGACTCAGGGTTTGGTTGTCTTTTGATGCTTATTTTGTGGCCTGGGACAATTCTTAACACTCTTCTGTGCCTTTATTTAATAGGAAAATGGGACCGGTTCTCTTGCAGAGAACTATTTAAAGGGACAATTGAAGTTTGGAGACCTTTTACCAGCCTTTGGCATCAGAGAAATAGGGCAGTTACAGGATGTATTTCTGTGGTTTGGCTTTATTAATGATCTGAACTCCTGGAGAAATCATCATATCATCAATATCCATCCCATTATTCCTTGTATTTATATATATCTTACTGCTGTTGCTCCAGGTGCTCCATAGCAGCTCTGACTTTCTGTGGGATATTTCCTACATGCTCCTGGTAAGGATCTAATTATTTCTTCCAACTGCAGCAAATCTTGTAGGTCCAGGTAAACCTCGTGGTGCAGGAACTAACAGGGAGGAGAAAAGTTTGATGCCAGGGATCAGACTTTGATCTTTCAGGGATTGGATCTTTCCCACTGTTGGTTGCTTCTTGAATAAGTCTGAAAGAGCTTTCATTTTATTTAAAAGGCTTTTATTGATCAAAAAGGCTTCATTCATAGGCTCTGTCTCCTTGAGTGGCTGAAGCAGGTTTAACTCGTGGTAGAAGTTCTTATTTGAGTTTGTTTTTATCATCTTGGTGGATGCACAATTTCACGCTTTTTTTTTTTTTTTAAAGGTAACTGGGAAACATTCACATGGTTAGAGACAGAAAAAAAAATCAGTGTAGGTTTCCTTCCAGTCCATTAATTTTCTTTCATGGAGCTCTGTACCAGTTTGAGAGCACAATTGGGAGGAATCAAAACACAGACATCTAGACCATTACGTAAGATCCAAAAGAGAACAGATTTGTTTTGAAATTGGGTCTGATGCATTTGTCCGAAGCCATGAACGTTTCTGAGACCTCAGAACATTCTTGCTGTTCTGCCTCAGGATGAAACTCAGATCATGTGAACTGGGGAGAGAGAGATCCCAAAATATTTGAAGCCAGTTAAGTGACTGTGGCCCTAATTCAAAGTCCTTTGCCGGGTGAGGCCAAGCAGGGATTTGAACCTGATTTTTTTCTTCTCTTTCCTCCTTTTAACATGAAGTTCCATCTTATATTGAAGAAACCATCCCCGTGGATTCCATAAAAATGGATTTATCCAGGTCAGACACTCATGAATTTTTTATAAGTGACCCACTGTTTTGTGTCCAACCACCCCCCACCCCTGAAATAAATAAATAGATTAGGGGTGGGGAATTGGAAAGTCCCATAAAACAATTTTTTTCTGTGTTGCCTAATAATTTGTATTATTTTACAACAGTTTAAGTTACAACTCTTTCTAACTGAACCTCTGTGCAATGCAAAGAACAGAGAGCAGGGTGGGAAGATGTAGAGTTTGGGGGACAGCATCCATCCAGTGGACGTGCATCCAACGCAGTGGATGGCTTTGCTGGGTTCATTGACCTCTTGTAGCCTGCCCACATGGCTTTTAGGACCAGGCTGCAAACTGGACTGAGCTCCTTGTGCTGCCAATCACTCGCTGTCCTGGACAGAAAAGGAAACAGCAGCTCCTCTTCCGTGCTCCGGATGCTGAGTCACCTGTGTGGTGGCAGAAAATAGCCCAGGGGCTGCTGTTTGCCCAGAGTGCCTGGAGAGCTTTCATCAGCTCTGCTGGGCTTGGGCAAGTCCAACTGCAGAGCTTTAAGCCCTGGGGCCAGTCTGTGGTTACTCACCCCCCGCTCAGTGCCCCGGTGCCCGAGGTGCCCGTCAGCGATGAGTAACTTCTTGTTCACAGTTTGTTTGAAAGCCAGTGGCAATATTTGGTTGGTTCGAGTTGCTGTTCCATTGCTGCAGTGTCAGTTCAAGCCTGTTTTGCTGGAAATGTGTTCCAGCTCGTCTGTCTCTTCTCTGTGTCTGCTCCCAAAGCCTGAGCTGGTCCGTGGTGGGGGTGATGAGCTGTCCCACTGCTGGGTTCACTGCCCACTACCAGGGTTTCACCAGATGAAGGAACCACTGTTCCCAAATTTCTGTGACCACGGTCACCAGCCATCCTGGTTCAAGCCAGGGCCACTTTCTCTGGCTTTATGGAGTGTTTCCATGCTCTCTGCCTGCCCTAGAAGGTTCCAGGTGCCTTCAGACCAAGAAACCCTTTAGAGAGGCATCACTTATGGTGCTGTGGTACTTCTTATTGT